CTATTTCATATTAATGAAAAGATTATTTAATTTATCTGTCCAAGCTTGGAGCCTTATCAAGTTGCAAAATTTCCCTATATTTTTCACATAGCAAATTGCTCATGTGTTCCTCCTTTTGTTGGGAAAAAAATAGCTGAAATAAGACCTTTTGCGGTTGTATTTCATTTCTCAATTAAAATATTGTTCAGTAATCTTACTGAAATGGGTCTTAACTCACAATGAAAGCGAGGATGACAAACTGATAGAGGAATATGATGACTATTTTAGCAACTTTCCTAATCACATTTTAATGTATTTACTTATTACTCAAGACCTTTCATGGCAAAATATACTTTGCAAAACAAAATTAGATTGGGGGAATTTGTGGATTAATTTGCTAGACATCAGAAAAGCATGAATCAGTTTTAGGGAATATGCAGCAAAATGATTCTTTATAGAGAGAATTCCCAGAAATAATCAATATGCAGGAAATGCTATTGTAACCCGTCATGCAAAGATCTTTCTGGACAGGAAATCAGACTAACATAAAATGAATTTGTGATTCTTATAGTCTTTACAAACAAGGAAATTTTCCTCAAAGTACTGCTTGCAAATAGCATGATCTGGCAAAATGAATATTCATTGTTTTTGTTCTGTTGACATTTGCATTGAATTAATCACTTGTTATCAAACTTTTCTATCCCAATGTATTTCTATAACATTATTCCAGTCTGTTACAACTAATGTTTAGTTGCTGATTAATAGAAATATTTTGGGAGGGATGGATTACATTTCCTGCTGGGGTTTTTTGGGAGCATTATAAGAAAAAATATTTTGTGCCCACCATGGTAAAAGAAGACCTTATGTACCATAATAGAAGCTTGTTTGCAGAACTACATTTTCACCCAACTATTCCCATAATTACTTGCATAAGTATTCATAAATGCATTTGATAATATAAACTTTATATGCCAAATTTGTACATCAGATTTATGCATTTGAGTGTGCCAGGTACTCAAAACCTGCAGCATTGTACATACCCAAATTTATCTAGTCTTATAGATTCATATTTTGATGCCTTCCTTCCTCCCTCCCTCTGCATCTGCAGTTAAAATGACTAACAGGTGAACGAAAAAACCTCGTCCTTAAATTTTGTAAAACAGATCTGCTTATACATATATGTTGCAGATCTAGACCAACAAAAAAAAAAACTGCCTTGGGCCCATAGTAATAGTTTCTGTCCCTTTTAATGTTTTTAAAAATGGAAATAATTAAAGAAAAGCCTTATCCCTTGATTTTAAAAAATGCAGAAGATAACCCGTTGGCTATTCCATTGTCGAATTTTGATTTAATTTGCTGCTGTCTTTAAGAAAGCTTATGTATAAGCAGCAGACACTATTGTAAAGAGAAGATGACTTTTTAAAAGGACTGTATATTGTAAAGAAAGGCAAAATGTATTTTATTTTTATGCCTTCAGTTTAAGTGATTAACTGAATCAAGCACATTCCTGAAAGTTTTCACAAATTTTCATGAAAAATTCAATTATAGATTATTTATTTACTACGTATATTTATTTATTATTATTTTCATTTACAGTAAAGACAGCATATTGGTTCAGACCAAATTCACTCTTATTTTTTTCTGAATTGATACATCAGTTTTATGCTACCATAAATTATAAACAGACCCTAGATGGATGACTTAGAGGCTAATATAGTCCTTTATGAATTCTTAAACTAGCCAATTCAGATCTTGCTCCAAGAATCAAAATTTGGAATATTTGTATAGATTATGTAAACATTACAGTAGAGAGAAGTTCCCCGAGGAAAGCTCAGAAGACTAAACCTCTGGTGAACGATCCAGGATTGGATCCTGCATTATGTGAGGAAATTACATTTCCATATATTTGCAAACTTTTCATAATTTATCCTCCTAGTTGCATGATTTTTGGATTTATCTACTTCATTGTTGAAAATGTCAGCATATATAAAAGCATGAAACTTGAAGAGGATGTATTTTCAGGACTTGCATTTTGACCCTACATAAACATTCCCGCAGAGATTCGGACCCTTCCCACTCTCGCGGCCTTCCAAAAAGCCACCAAAACCTGGCTGTTCCAGCAGGCCTGGGGCTGTTGATCTATGAATCAGGTCCAACCCCCAGCTAAGCCGAATGTATGTTGTGTTTTTTTAAAACTGTTTTCGTTTCTCCCCTATTTGTTATTTTATTTTATCTCGTATTTGTAAGCTGCCCGGAGCCCTACGGGATTGGGCGGCATATAACCTTATTAAATTACGAATTACGAATTAATTCCGAAGCAAACCTCAGTGAGTTCAGTTGAATTTATTCCAAAGTCATACATAGTATCATACATTGATCATTTTTACTTCAATTATCTCTTCATTTCTAAGAAAACAAAGGACAAAGACTGCAATACATAATGTCTTTGTTGTGCCTTTTTTCTCCTTCAGTAATGAACACCAAATTTGCCACCAAGATTGGGAAACTTAACTACTGCTTTTTTAATGCAGAGAATTAAAGGCAATATTTGAGCGATAAATGCTTGAGTTAATTTTTTTTTTTTTTGCTTGTATAGTCTTCTTTCTCTGTAACTCATCTGAAAGATCAAATATGTTCAAAGCTTTAACTAAAAAAATAGAATTGCAAGAAGGAAATCTAAAAAAAGGTGATTTTGTTTGTTTTATCTAAATTTGAAACTGAAAACCCGCTCTGTTTCAATGATGGCATTGTACCAGCAATTACTTATCTTCAGAATTGGTACACTGTAAAGAAATGTTTACTGGAAAAATTATCTCATCTTTTAAGATTTTTCTGCCTGGGATTAAAATATGTTTATATGCACATAGTTTATTAATTTTAACACATATGGACAATCTAAGGTTTTCAGGATATGTGATTTTGGGAAATTATTGTAAAAGAGAGGATGATGTTTTTAAATTTTACATTATATGAGATAGGTATTACCAAAATTCAATGGTAGGAAACCTACACATTTTAGTTAGTAACGAAACATGAAATTCTATTACAATGATGACATTTCCTCAGGAATGTAAGACTTTGCTTAAGAGTCATCACAGGATATTTATGATTCAATCTCCAATGTGGCTAATGAGACTCTTGTGTTTAGAAATTCCATGGAATTGTTAAAAGATTACGTGGCATTTTTAATTCAGGTATAGATATTTCTAAAGGCCTATTTTGCAATATACACATTTATACCCATAAGACATGTACACACAAATATACACCGGGTATACAAAAGGCATAGAAGTTAAACACTGTCATCCAGTGAATTAAGCTGCACATCATTATATTTATTAATAAATGTGTAGATTGTCTTTATGCAAGAAATACAAGCAGAATTAGCCTTACCATTTGGAAGAGTGAGGCACCTACCTCAAACAGCAATGTTGATTGCCATTAAAGACAGCAATTTATTAGTTGTGATAATCATCTTAGAAAATATCTCCTGCACTTACACATACCTTCTCTATAAATGGAATATGAAATAGGTGTGTGTGTGTGTGTGTGTGTGTGCATGCAACTGTATTAGTTGCACCAAATCTCTTGCACCTAATGATCTGTCCATGGTACTGCAAGTTTTCTTTCTCTGTTTTTTTTCTTCTGCCTGAATTCTTGACATGCATTGTTTGTCTTTCCCTTTAAATAGTGCACTGGAGGTTTAGAAGTTTGCTTTTCTTTTATGTATGGTTAAAACTAAAGTATAAACAAGAAACAAACAAACATATGCTTATACGAAACATTGTGCACCAAGAGAATGCACTAAAAATAAAAACTTTTTGTACAATTAACATAATTACCACATTATTACATTTTGACTACTAATGGAAATTGAGGGAGGGGGAAATTGACCTTGATATCTAAGATAACCTGCCAGCTGATAGAAGAAAGAACATTGTCCCCCTCACCAAAATGGTAGTGGGTAAGTAGCAGGAAGCTGTTTTAATTTCTTGCAATGGGCAGTGTAAATTTACTATTGCATGAGAATGTTGTTAAATCTAACAGCAAGGATAGAAAAAAATATTGTGTGTAGGGGCTCTCCTGTGCATAGGGCAAAGAATGTCAACTAAATATATGTTGTGATGAATGTGTCTTTCAAATAGGCCTGACCTATTCAAGATGGAAAATTGCTCTTAAGTCATACTGAACCATCATTGTCATTGTCTGTTTGCTTTAATCAAGTGAAATCTAGTGCTACCATAGCATTTGAAATGTAGATCTACAGTATGCTTGTCTTTTATAAGAACATAACATTTTTCTCTAAGACCAAGGTGGCTATGTAGTTTTGGTATTTAATTTTAATGAAAACTAACTTGAGCCGTAATTTCTGCCTGATATTTTTTTCAGTAGTACTATTTATTCTTTAAAACTTCAATTATGAAGTAAAACTAGAATAAATTTTATGAATTCCTTTATTCCACGTCCAACTTTTTCCTTAGGGGATATATTCCTGAAATCTCAAATATGACAAATATAGGATATTTTGAAATGTTCCTCCCCAAAGAACAAAATAGGATAAAACAAAATTGTTTATTAAAAACAAATCTGCCTTTCACAAATGAAAATTTGAGTTTGTTAGTAGGACTATTTGATTCTATTAGCAATTCTGGCTAAATAAAACAGAATCATATGAATTACTCACAATGGCTGATCTTATGTATCTTAATTTTATAGGTAAATATTTCAAAGTCTGCACAAATTTATATTAGTTGTGACAACTCCAAGTTTGAATACATGCTTAATATATTCCACACAGTAACATTGAGCACCTTGGAATTTGTGTTAAGAAACCCTTTTGTATATATCCCTTTTATTTCCTGTAACCTGCATAAGATGAATTTCTTATTGGGAACTGTCACGTTACACTACAACAGTTTTTGATATGATTTAAAAAAATTAATAAAACTACTTTTCTCCCTACTTTCTGAAGAGCAATGAAGCCCTGCTTTATATAATCCCGACTTATCTTCTTGTAACAGACAATGCAACAGATGAGCGACCATCGTTATGACAAACTTACAGTTCCTGATGATGCAGCAGCAAACTGTGTGTATTTAAACATTCCTGGCAAAGGTCATGTTTTGTTGCATCGAGCACCTGAGGAGTATCCAGAAAGTTCAAAGGTAATGGCAAAAAGGCTAGACCTGTTCTTATATAATGCTGATCAGCTGTAAGTTAAGATTGCTTGGGAGAGAAGAATTGAATCTGTAATCTTTTTTTTTCAAACACTGCTTCTCCTGAAAGTAGCAGAAAAGAAAAGAATACCGGTGGACTTTGAGGATTGATTGATTGATTAAATTTATAGGCCGCCCAATCCTGAAGGACTCTGGCAGCTTACAGAAAATAATTTTTTTTAAAAAGAGTTAAAAACAAATAGAGGAAACAGATTAAAAGAAGCACATCATGCACCCAGTCTAATCGGGGCTGGACTTCGGTCAGGAGGTCAACAGCCCCCAGGCCTGCCAGAATAGCCAGGTTTTGATGGCCTTTCGGAAGGCCATGAGAGTGGGCAGGGTCCGGATCTCTGGACCGAACTTATCAGGATGTCTTATCAGGATGCATGATAAGTAGAAACCAGCACTGTTGGGCCGGTAATGGCAAAAAAAAAAAAAAAAGGTTAGGTGGTAGAAGTGTTGTTACAATGCACTTAAAATGGGTCAAGCTTCCACCATCTTGCCTTTTTTGCCCTCTCACCCTTTGTTCCCCACGGAACTGCTGTTAGGAAAGAATGCTGCAAGCCTCCAATCTGCATCTTGGTGGCCCATCTGAGGAGGAGAGGGAAACCAGGCTGTGTGAGCAGTAGATTGACACGTGCATGTAGCTTGACTCATGTGAGTCAAGCTGTGTGCACATACATGCTGGCCTGGGGGTTGGAGACCTCTGCCTTACTGATACTCCCCAACAAATATGGTAAGTGTAAATCTTTGACATCTCTCCTGAACTTTGGTTTTGGGCTGACTCTGAAGTTTTTACTGCTTATTTAATCTTGTTATTACTGCATATGCAACATTATGCTCAACAATTTTTATTGCCCAACATGTTGAGCCTGAAGCAAAAGTACAGAATTATGGTGTGACCACATAAAACTCTCTGTTCCCCAACTCCACTAATAATATCTTAAGTAAGTAAGCATGGGATAAACATTATTCAGGCTGTCATTAGATATTAAATCACGAGGCTGGTTTGTCATATATTCCTCATCACTTGAGGCATAATTTTATTAGAAATCAAAGTCAGCATTACTCAGTCCATGAGATATATCAGTGACTTATGAATTAAAATATGACACAATAGCACATTTATCAGTCTTTTGCTCCCACATATCCTAAAATGAATTAACATGCTAACTTGAATGCCCAGAGTTCCAGTTTTGATCCAGAGATTCCAATCTGAGACTGAACTGTCTAAAATAAAATAAAAATAAAAAAGGTTCCTTTCAAGTTGATTCTGACTCCTATCGATTGCATGGATATGTTAATATAGTCGACTTAGCAACAGAATAGAACTGATTTCCCATAGCCTTTTTCCAGGATATTTTTCTAGCTTCTTAATCTAACTGTGACAGCCTTGGGATTCCCTGGTGCCATTACATTCAAAGGCTGTTCAGACCTAGTCTTGCTAGTTTCCAAGCACGAAGGTCAGTCAGATACCACTATTTGCTAAGAGTTTTCTACTAAGATATACAAAATTCTGACTGAAAAAATTTAAACCAATGATAAAGATTCAGTAAAAAAAGATTCATAAATGTAACAACTTTTCATTTTTTTCCCTAATAGGTATTTGAAAAACTGAAGGACCACATGTTGATCCCTATAGCAAACACCGAGCTAGAAAAAGTAGATGGAGCACTCACTTGCTGTTCGGTCCTTATTAATAAATCTTCACAATTATGAGTTTACAGATTTCCTTCCTTGTATATGGCAATAATGTACATGAAAGGCAAATGTATCTGTATTTCACTTGTATTGGTTTTCTTGACAATCTACTGTAACACTGTGCTACTGATCTTTGTTTACAATGGTGCCCCTTCACTCGTAATTAAGGTGCGTGTATAAGCTTTTTCCTGACATATAAAGATTTGAAGCATGTTTGTCTGGATTTCCCCCCAAAAAATGTTATGAAAATTAATGGTTTATGTAGTAGATGTAAAATGATCTCAGAAGCAGAAGTAGGGGCCACTTCTAGCATCACTTTTGACTCGGGCACAACAACAACTAGATGCATATCTACTATGCCGAACATTCCTATATCCTAGGACTTGAGTTTAAAATCAAGTCATTGAAGACATATGGCCAAATGCCATACAAAATGTAATACTGGACTTCCTCGCAATCCGTTTTTTGAATTTGTCATCAACGAATTATTTCCACTGCAGAGTAAACAATAAACACTTGTTTTTGTATTCCTAGTAATTTTGTCACAGGAACTTTATAATGCTCCCTGGAGTGTTTATCCACTCCTTTTCCACTGCTCTGCGTAAATTCTAGGATTGACATTGATAAGTCATTAAATAGTTACCAGCTGTAAAAGGCATAAAAGTGGAAAATTACAAGTGCTTACAATCACAGTAGTTAAGTCTTCAAATATGGGCTATTAGGAAGATAAGGGCTGAGAGACGTATCTCTTCATGCATTTATTCTTATGTCATCTCAAATAATTTATTTTCCTTGCTTTGGGGAAGTTAATTGTAATTAGATTAGAACATGAGAGGGAAATCTGCACTGGGTAGGATAATGCCCATATTATATATGTGTTTCTTTAACAAAAGTAAGGCATCTGTTTAAATAGAACAGCCTCATATATTGTTGTTGAAAGTAGCTTGAGTAGTTAACATTGATCCAAACATGTCTTAGAAAATACTGAAGGATTTTAGAAGTAATACTGGAATTGGCCCAGTTTTAATCTAGTCCGACCTTTCGTCACCCTTCTCTTTAGAGTTCTAAGTTATAGATAATCAAAAGGAAATTCAGTAACTCTTCCTTTAGTAACAACCATAGTATAAAACATATTATAATTATCGTAGAAAATTATTTTCCTTTTAGTGCCTTGGAAGAAAACTGTGAATGAAATTAATTACAAAGTGTAGGTGGATTACTGTGAGGGTTTGAATCAGTTGTGTGTCCAAAATGCTGATTTGTTTATTTGCACTTTTTTATTTCAGTAGATATTCAGGTTGTTCACGAGTTAAAACTTCTACATATTTTAAAGTTTTGATTCACAAAGTTTTAACAAATTAATAAAACACTTTATTTTACTGCCGCCTCTCATATTGTACTTTCACGCAAGTACTTGTTGTTATGCTTTTAAATATTCATTTGATCATCAGAGTTCTTTTCTATTCAAACTCAAATGCTGAACTTTCTGAAAAACATAAACAAGACATGGCAGGGGATCTTAGATTCTTCCAGATATTCTACTGTGCAATGCTCTGTCTCATTTATAACATTTCATGTGGGGCAGAAGGACCCTGATGATTTTGCCTTTTACTTGTAAATCTCCTATGGATTCCTGCTGCTAATTTCATTTATATTGTTTCTGAGAGGGGGAAAAAACTAAGAAAAGAGAGAACTACAAAATGTACTTGGGTCCTGTTGTTTCCCTGTAGTATATTGTATATCCGTGACTTCCAAGAGACTCTGATTACTATTATGTCTAAGTATTCATGTTGTGCCTGGAAATGGATATCTTTATTTAAACTGTAATTCAATTGGAAGAAATGTTTATTTTGGCAAATTCTGCTCCATTTTGGGCACTACTTCTGGTAACTGGCTAATGTACACTGGCTAATATTACAAACTTAAAATAACCAATTACATTAAAACTATGGTTGAAATTATTTATATGTAAGAAACACAGGAAAACATATGTAGAATCCAGGAAATGCGACATGAGGAATGTCATATGTAACCTTATCTTTTAGCTGGATTAATTATACTTAAAAACTCTAATTATTCTTCTTACCCTTCCTTTCTTTAATAATATTTTCCCCTAAAATGAAAAATTATTTATTTTCTTGGCATGTTCTTATTTTATTTCCCTAAAATGGTCACATTCTTATTTTATTCCACTGAAAACTGCATAATGATTTTATACAAAATTTGCTTATTGAATAATAGAAGAAACACTTTGTCTTCTTAATGGCTAGTTTGGAAATATTTAAAAATGTAATAGGTATTTAATTGGAAGATGAGGGTTTTGTTTCACCATGGGGATTTCAATACATAACAGAAAATAATAGAAATGTTTTAGAGATATCGTGAAAAGTCTTGCAAAGTAACAATAATGGTTGCGTGTATTCACTTCTTAAGTCTTCAGTAGTTGCTCATTTTTATTAGCTAATGTCACAGCCCAAAGAATATATGTTCTGCTTTGTTTTTACATCACTTAACATTAATCAGGAATGTTAAAACTAATTTTAGTTGGCCACCTTTCAATGAAATAAAGCCAGAAAATACTTGGTAAAATGGTTTTACATTTTGCTTTGTTTTGTGACTGCTGTGACAACTGCATTCTCAGTAGACTTACACCAAGCATACTTTTTCTACCTGAAGTGTTGTAAATTGTGTCATAGACTGCTTGTGTGTCAGACATTTTTTTGATTAATTTTATGTGCTAAATGGATTCTACCCTATTCTAAATATCCATAATTATGGATAGTATGCAAAAAATATCTGAGTGCCTATTATTTTTCTAGTTTTCCTGATGTTTGTCACAATGTTCTATAAAAAATCACTTATTGTACTGACATACAGTACATGTATACAGCTGGTGAATCTTTTATTAAGTTTGAATTTTGTGCCCCTTTCTGTTCTACTCTCATGCAGTCTGTACTTCTGAATTACAATTCAAATTCAGCATAGCAAAATGCTGCATTGGGTTAGAACTATACAATTGAAAATGCAGACTTGTTTCAAAGTATCCTCCCTGTTCTTATCTTGCGGACCATAAAATTAAAACAGAAATTTCATCAAATAAAGTATCCTTAGGTATTTTAGGCATGTAAAAAAGGTAAGAATAATGCCCCAAATTTAATCATATTTCAGCTTTAGATACTGAACCTCTGCCTAAACAATGCTATCTAAATTTTTGTTAGCATGGATACCAAATGCAAATTGTATAATCAGTTCAATGAAATTGTAAAGCCTTTTCTAATACTACCTCAGTAGTGCTCTGTATTTCAAAATAGCAGATCATCAGATGGGATTAACTTGTCCTTCTTGCAAAATATAATATGTTCTTCAATGCGCAGAGAATGGGGAGTAAAGGTAGTAATTCACAACAGCGCTTCTGTGATGGCATAGACCACTCCTGAAATTGCTGACATCTTAAAATAGTTTCCTTCGTGTTCTCCAATTCCATACATAAAATAAAATAAAATATCTAACTAAAGAGAAAGCTCACTAGGCAAAACTCTCACTGGTGTATCCTACAATTTTACACTTTTGGTCCCAAAGCTTAAAAGTTGGAAGCCAGAGGTAGATACCCCTATTTCAGTGTTTCCCAAACTTGGCAACTTGAAGATGTCCGGACTTCAACTCCCAGAATTCCCCAGCCAGCATTCGCGAATGCTGGCTGGGGAATTCTGGGAGTTGAAGTCCGGACATCTTCAAGTTGCCAAGTTTGGGAAACACTGCCCTATTTGATCCCTTAGATTGTTTTGATTTTTTTAATGGTGTATGTGTGTGTGGACAAAGTGATGCAATATGTGGGTTTCCTTGTTGGACAAAATGTAATCAGTGTCAGCTAAGGTTTCTTTCCATGTGCCAATGAGAAGTGTTTATACATGCTGTACCTTATATTGCTATACTTGGCATCCTTCCACTCCCTCCCACACAGCAAAGTATACACTCAGTTCAATCTTTCACAGATGCCGTGTTTTAGAAGTATAGTGTGGATTTTAAGGATATGTGGAACATATCTCTGTGAGATTTGATCACAACTCCTGTAGAACATCATGTTCAGCTAGGTACAGAACTGTCCAAAATGCTTCTCTCTTCTCCCTTAACAAGAAGAACAAAACCTGTTAACTCTTGTTTATTGAAACATGAGAACAAAATTAATCTGAATCCAATGTTTCTAAGAAGCTGGTACATATCCATTAATGATGAGAGGCAGTTCTTAAAGAGTATTTTTAATCTGTAAGGTGGCTAGGAACAAAATATGAGCCACCTCACTTGAACTCTCAGAAAGGCTTCTTGTGATGTAGGATGCAGTTTCAAGTCACATATGAAATGTATTTAGCCTTGTTTTCAAACATACAGCTACTAACCACATATGATTCAAATGTGTTATCTTTAATATATCCAACTATTTTTTTTTGTGTCAAAATTTTGCCAAATTCCATAACCTGTTAACACTGGAAAAAGTGCTGTTTATTATCCTTAATTTTGTCTTGTGCATTTCTAACATTATGTATACCCATCACTATCAAATAAAGTGTCAGCTGAAGCTAAACTGTATGAATGTTATTTAGAATAAGACTTGAAGCAACTTATTCCTCTTTTTCATACATTTTGCTTCATTGATCCAAGTTCGTTTTTCTCACTGTACCATATTTTTAAGAAATGAAATGTGATTGCTACTGCTGCTACTTTTAAAAGAAGTGAATTTAGACAAAGGGATCTTAGCATGGCAACCTTAAATTACACAGTCTCACATGGTGAAATTGCCTAGAGATTAAGGTGGCTTAAGATACTGCTGTCTAGATTTCAATCCATTCTAGAGCTTTGACCATTTTGCTGTTCAGGTGTTCTATCCACATAGTGACTACTGTGGCCTTTAATTGATGAATTTCCTAAACCTTATCCTCCAACTCCTGCCAAGAAAGTGAGCACTAGATACTTTCCATGAGTAGATCTTGGAGACCATGTGGTACTGATAGAGAGAGTTTTGTAACTCTTTGTTGAGAGTCCATCAAATTTGAAGCTTCCTGTCTAGAATATTCACCAGTGGACTGGTGAAAAAAAAACTTTAGTTTACTCTTCTTTCACTAGGGTTAGAAATGAAAACTTGTCAATTTCATCTGTTAAAAAGAAAAAAAAACCAAATCACTACTGTTTCACTTATTGTCTAATTAACCTTAGACAACCCACTGATGGTTCTCTTTAACTAGCTGCCTGTCACTTACCTAGGTGCTGGTTCACAAGATGCATATGCAGATAGATACAAGTGAACTGATTTTTTTCTGAGCACAACCTATCAGAGTTATAAAAACAACCCATGTAATGCCTGAAACTTGCTTCAAAGCAGGCCAGGATTTCAAGTTTTACATTTGCATGTTGCTGTCCTTTGCTGTAGTTATGTCCCAAAGTGGCTGTGGAAAGTCCACCCAATGACCAGAAGGGAAGGGAAATGCTGGCATGTTTGTACAATGCTCAATAGGAGCACAAATATTTAGATCAAATTGAAGCACAGCAGAGAAACCAATACATGTCAGAAAACACTACTTTGAAACAGAGAAGCATGACAGCAGGCCAGGATAGGGTGAACTGATGGTTTTGTTCATTCAAGCCCTCTCAGTGTGACTGCTGAAGTATTACCTGCCCACTGGTGAGGTGTACTTAGATCCTCCCCAAAAATCAATTATGTAATGGGCAGTAGAAGCTGCTAATTTACTGAACCACTCTAAAAAGCCATTACTACTAAAGGAACATTAGGTACGGTATTTCAGGTATCTTTTAAAATTGGTCTTCATGCTTTTCTTAGTACTGAATCCACTTGAGACTTGAGAGCCACTCTCCTATCTCCTCCCTGGGATAGTGATTCTTCTGTGCCACTGAAGATTTTCCATAAATCTACTGGGGGCACCCTGCTCATATGGTAGGAGGATTCCTGCTGCTGGTCTAAGGAGACTTTCATTCTAATTTTATTTCCAGCTAATAGCTGTTCAGGAAGGATAAGACTGCTCTGCCCAACTGGACTCAATCCATGATTAAAAGAATCAATGTAGTTCCAACTCCCAAACTATTTTAAATAATACAAGTTAATATCAATAGCATATTATGTACGCAACTTGTGGAAATTTCATAATGGTTTATATTTATAATCTCAGGGCATTTCTTACAAACTTCCTATCCAAATAGGAAATAAGAATTCCAATAGGAAATCAATATTATTACAACAAACATATTTTATTACAGCCATTGGCCAAACTGCAAAAACAATAAAGTTCATTATTTTTTCCACGATGTCTGAGATAATAGTGGTGGCGATGGACTTCCCAAAGGTCATTTTATAAATGCTGAAAATGAATTTCCAATCAGAAATGTGAATGCACTTCATATACATGCAGGTGGAAAACAAGCTGGATTGGAATCAAAATAACTTAATTCACGTAATTGGTCCAAGAAAAATTGGAATTCCACTCAGCCACCCCACCCCCCCCCCCCCCCCCCCCGCTAGACATATGAAACTCTCCAGGTGGAAACCTTCTATTGGAACTAAGAACAAAATTGTCACTGCATGCAGAGCAAAGGATTTAAACTCTGCTTACAGAATATGTAGCTTTAAATCTAATCATGGCTGATGTTTCAAAGATTAATGAAATACCTTCAATCATATTTATTGCAATGTATGCTTTATTATACAGGTAATCTCAACTTACAACTACAACTGGGCACAACATTTCTGTTGCTAAACAAGACAGTTGTTAAATGGGTTTTGCCCCATTATACTATCTTTCTTGCCACAACAGTTACGTGAATCGCTGCAGTTGTTAAGTTAGTGGCAGTTGTTAATTGAATCTGGCTTCCCCGTTGACTTTGCTTGTCAGAAGGTCCCAAAAGCTGGTCACATGATTCTGGGACACTGCAACCATCATAAATGCCAGTGAGTTATCAAGCATCTAATTTTTGATCATGTGACAGTGGAGATGCTACAACAGTCATAAGTGTGGTAAACGGCCATAAGTCATTTTTTTCATTGCGGTTGTAACTTTGAACAGTCACTAAACAAATTGTTGTAATTGAGGACTCCATTACACAGCCCAGTGAAATCTATTCAACTTTGGGGTAGGACCACAGAAAGAGCAATACAAGTGTTGCTAAAATATGAAAAATAACACAATATGTTTGAAAGAGATATTTGCAGTAACAATCTGTTGCCATCTAGTGATCACTGATGTAAATATTATTATCGCAAACTATGTGAGTATAAAATATGGCTGGCATTTTTGCTGGGTTTTCTTGTGCCATATGCCCTAATGCAGTGGTTCCCAAACTTGGCAACTTTAAGACTTGTGGACTTCAACTCCCAGAATTCTCCAGCCAGAGCTGGCTGGAGAATTCTGGGAGTTGAAGTCCACAAGTCTTAAAGTTGCCAAGTTTGGGAACCACTGCCCTACTGGGTTCCATATGCAAGGATAATACCAGTTTGGGCACATTTTGTCTAGTAATCCACAAGTGGAATAGGTCTAGCTTTACTCCAGCATACTCATGCTTTACTCATGCAACCTAGAATCTCTAATCCAAGTACTACAAGCTGTACTATTGTCTGAAATTCACCAAACGGGGAATGTGAGATGATACTAGAAGTGTGTATTAATACAAAAACATTTCTTTAAAGGTCACTAAATGGACAAACAAGATGGCTTTATGCGCCTGATGAATCAGAAAACTATTGATGGGCAGTGGGCAATTTAAGATTCCCACTCTCTCTTCTTATGGCTCTTTAGGGCTGGAATTGGACTAACCAGTCAGTCCTTCAAAAATAGCACTTCTCCTTGTAAATTAGGACTTTTGATTTATACTTTCACCTATAAAAGGCAGCAAAGGCAGGTGGCTAATTATTATTCTTTCAATGTATAATTAAGTAAGACATGCAAGTAGGATTAAACCATCAAGCAATTGTGTTTTTCTATATTGTTGAGGTGGGTAACCTACTACACACTTTATATTAATAAAAAGTGTAATATAAAATCTCAGTTGACCAATGTCATAGGCAGAAGTCAGTAACTATGGTCACCATCGCATATGTTGATGAACATGGTTTCTGAAAGACTGTGAGTTTTAATGTTGGAGGAATAATTAAAAACATGAAGGGAAAAGGAAGAAGAAATAGATATGTTTTGTGTCTGTGAAATTAAGAGAAAAAAGTTAAATGTGATCTGAATGAAAATGGTCTAATCCAGTGGAGTAAAACCGATAGATAGGTTTAGGAAACTTTAATTAGGTTTAATTATGAAAAGGCTTAAATATACATCAGAAAATATGACTTGGTGTTTAGGTAGGTTGTAGAAACCTATAAGTTAGTGGTAGTTGCATGTTACTGCTAGGGAGCCAGGCTAGAAAGAGGGAGGCTCATGAGTTTACACCCTACCTTAACCATGAAATCCAGATGGGTGGCTTTGAGCCAGCCACTGTCTCTCAGCCCAACCCATGTCTCAGAGTTGTTGTGGGGGAAAT